CGCCTTCTGGAGTGGCCCAGTCAAGAGTCCTGACCTCAACACGATTGAAATGTTGTGGCATGGCCTTAAGAGAGCGATTCACACCAGACATCCCAAGAATATTGCTACACTGAAACAGTTTTGTGAAGAGGAGTGGTCCAAAATTACTCCAGATCGTTGTGCAGGTCTGATCTGCAACTACAGGAAACGTTTGGTTGAGATTATTGCTGCCAAAGGAGGGTCAACCAGTTATTAAGTCCAACGGTTCACATACTTTTTCCTCCCTGTGCTGTGAATGTTTACATGTTATGTTCAATTAAACCATGACAACATGTAATGTTTGTGTATTATTATTTTCAGCAGACTGTGTTTTTCTATTGTTGTGACTTAGATGATGTTCAGAGCACATTTTATGACCAATTCATGCAAAATTCCGCGTTATCCCAAGGGCTTCACATACTTTTTCTTGCAACTGTATTATTCTTAGTTAAATACATGTACCCAGATAATATGCTGTTTGCTAAATATTGAAAAAGTTACCTTGGAAAACCCTAACCCAAACCCCAATCCTTATCCCAACCCCTATTAAAACTAATAAAATTTATATTAAAAAAAAAAAAGGACTCCGATAATTGTGTGTGGTTTTTTTTAACCCCTCTGCTAGTTTTCAAGCCAACCAGGGATCTCAGATGCCGCTGCCCAGCAGCTGCAGGCAGCCCTGGAGGAAAGAGCCAACTTAGAAAGCCAAATTGCCCAGGTAAGGTGGACGTCCAGAGGGGATGCCTCCAGAAGGAGCCCGGGGATTTGGCCTCGATGGCAGTCGTCAACTCTTTTGGTAGAGTCTGATTGGCACCGCCCGTCTCTTCTCTTTCCTTCTTCCTTGCTCAACAGCTGTCAGAGTCTTTGCAAAAACTGCAGACCGAACGGGATCAATACGTCCTGCGGCTGAAGGAGGAAGGGAGCATCTGGCAGCAGCGAGTCGAGCTCCTCTCCGAACAGGTAAGGTTCCTAAGAGATCCTTCCAGATCCTGTAATGGTTTGGAGGTTGCCCTTCAGGCTGGCCCAACTGGGTTTCCCACAGGTCCGGACTCTGACGGGAGAGAAAGAACTCAGCGAGACTCGGATTGGGGAGCTGGAGGCCAACCTCTCAGAGTTGCTGAGCAGTCAGTCAGGTAAATGCTGGTGTTCTCCACCCCCCAAAAGACCCCCTTCCAGTCACCCGATTCACCCCCACCCATCTCCTGAATCGGGGGGTGACTTAATGTCGCTGGAGACGGTCTTTGCTCCGGCGGTTCAAGTCCCAGCGTTGCGTGAGCTCCCGTCACTCAGCTCGGCTCCTCCCCAGCTAGCAGTTCAAAAGCATGTTCTGTGCGAGTAGATAAATAGGTACCACTCCAGTGGGGAGAGGAACCGGTGCTTCAAGCGGACGGGTAGAATCCTGCTGGCGCTGGGCCTTCCCAGTTGCAGTGCCCCTTTGCAAGGCAGCGTTGGTGGAGGGAGAGAGGGCCTCGGATGGTGCTGCAGGAAAACCGTCCCGTCTTTCTTTCTGGTGGGGAACTAGCTCGCCCCCTCTGGCCCATCCATCTGAACCAAGCAGGGCTGTCTTAGGCAGCCGTATCTACTACTACCATGTGCATTGGTATTGTAGTACGCTAAAAAAAAAAGAATATCCTAAATCCAGCAGTCTTTCCTTCAGTGGTAAGATCCCTCTGCTGCAGCACGTTGGGTGCTTGCTCCAAGAGGGTGGTCAGGGCATGGGGTGGGAAGGTCTGGAGAACCATCCTGTTTCCAGCTAGGCTTGCCACTGAGTTTCTGGAGAAGAGTTGCCTGGATCCAAGGGCGTGACTTGTAAATAACCCGCCTTTCTTCTCCACTGGATTCCGTAGCGGTGAAGCCCCAGGAGACTCAGCCCGCCCCTGCTGCCCCGGGGCCCTCGCCGACTGAACTGCACCTTCAAGAGGAGCTGGCTCGGCTGGAGAAGGAGAAGGGGGAGCTGCTGGACCGATGGCAGACCCAGGTGCGAGACAACGGGCAGATGAGCCGACTCAACCAGGAGCAGGAGGAGCGGCTTCAAGAGCTGGAGAAGGCCTTGCAGCGCCACAGCGAGGAGGACGTGGACAAGCAGCAGATCTTGGAGAACATGCAGAGCGACAAAGCCACCATCAGCCGGGCCTTGACCCAGAACCGGGAGCTGAAGGAGCAGCTGGCGGAGCTGCAGAATGGATTTGTCAAACTGGTGCGTGTCTTCCCCTCCCCCCCCATCCGAAGCCGACATCCAGCTGTTGGCGACTTACACATTTCCTCCTCAAGTTACGACTGTAATGTAGCCTGCCCATTACGATCGTAAGTCTTTTAACGATCGTGAAACGGGTCAGTCATACGACAGAGCTGATTTTGGTTAATTCAGCCAAGGGTTCACTGTGGATCCCATAAACCGTTGTAAATCATCGTCACGACCATTGGAACTGGATTATAATTCCCCCTTTTTTTAAGTAGGTCATAACTTTGGATGGTTGATGAGAGACCGGTCGTAAGTGGAAGACTGCCTGCTTAGAG